CTCTTGATGAAAGTGAAAGAGGAGAGTGAAAAAGTTGGCTTAAAGCTCAACATTCAGAAAACTAAGATCATGGCATCTGGTCCCATCACTTCATGGCAAATAGATGGGGAATCAGTGGCTGACTTTATTTTTTTCGGTTCCAAAATCACTGCAGATGGTGATTGCAGCCATGAAATTAAAAGACACTTACTCCTTGGAAGGAAAGTTATGACCAACCTAGATAACATATTAAAAAGCAGAGACATTACTTTGCCAACAAAGATCCGCCTAGTCAAGGCTATAGTTTTTCCAATGGTCATGTATGGATGTGAGAGTTGGACTATAAAGAAAGCTGAGCACAGAATTGATGCTCTTGAAATGCGGTGTTGGAGAAGATGTCTTGAGAGTCCCTTGGACTGCAAAGAGATCCAACCAGTCCATTCAAAAGGAGATCAGTCCTGGGTGTTCATTGGAAGGACTGATGTTGAAGCTGAAACTCCAATCCTTTGGCTACCTGATGTGAAGAATTAACTCATTTGAAAAGACCCTGATGTTGGGAAAGATTGAGGGCAGGAGGAGAAGGGGACGACAGAGGATGAGATGATTAGATGGCATCACCGACTCAATGGACATGAGTTTGGGTAAACTCCATCTGTTGGTGATGGATAGGGAGGCCTGGCATGCTGCAGTCCATGGGGTCGCAAAGAGTCGAACACGACTGAGTGACTGAACTGAACTGAACTGAATCTAGGCTTCTGCCTCAAGAACCTAGAAAAATGAGAGCAAAATAAACTCAGAGGAGCAAATGGAAGGAAATAATAGTGATAAAGGCAGAAATCAATGAAATTGGAAATAGAATAGAGAAAATAAAAAAGAAATAAAGAGCTGATTCTTTGAAAATAATAAAATTGACAAAACTTTTAAAGAAGACTAAAGGAGTAGACACAAATTGCCAGTATCAGGAGTAAAACAGGAGTTATTACTACATACTCTGTAGCCATCAACAGAATATCCACCCATACATTTGGCAACTTAGATAAAAAGGGACTGGTTTCCTTGAAAAACATAAACTATTGTACTTTAACTTGACCAATATGGAATAGATAATTTGAACAGGGCTATAATTATTAGCCAAACCATAGAAACAACATAAGTTGTTGACAATCTAAATGTCCATCAATGGATGAATAGACATCCATTCATCCATTGATGAATATATGCATATGTGTACATACATACAATGAAATATTATTTTCAGCCATAAGAAATCTTGCCACTTGGAACAACATGGATGGATCTTTTGGGCATCGTGCTAAAAGAAAATAAGTCAGAGAAAGACAAATACTGTATGCTGTTACTTATATATCTTTAGAAAAGAAGAAAAGGTTACATATAGAGAACAGACTGGTGTTGGTGGTAGCAGGAGGTGGGGTGTGGGTGAAATGAGTAAGGGGGGTCAAAAGATATAAACTTCCAGTTAGAAAATGAATGTCATAGGAATGTACTGTACATCATGATGACTACAGTTAGTTATGTTGTATTTTGTATATGAAAGTTGCTAAGAGAATAGATCTTAAAAGGTCTCATCACAAGAAATAGAGTTTTTTAACTATGTATGGTGATGCATGTTAACTAGACTTATTGTGGTGATCATTCTGCAATATCTACAAATATCAAGTCATGTTGTACACCTGAAACTAATACAGTGTGATATATCAGTTATACCTCAATTAAAAAATATGATGAAAGTAAAAAAAAACCCCAAAGATAGTCCAATTTATAATTTTAAAAACTCTTACAAAAGAAATGTATAGGCTCAGGTGATTTTACTGCAGAATCTGCCAAATTTTTAAAGGAGTCTTAAACACCAATGCTACATGATTTTTTTCCAGAAAATAGGAAGGACACTTCCTAATTCATTTTGTGGAGCAGATATTATGCTGGTAATAAAATCGGACAAGAACAGTAGAAAAAATGAAAACTACAGGTCAACATCTCTCATGAATATAGACATGAAAATCCTTAAATTATTATGTAGATTAAATTCAACAATATGTAAAAATAATTGTACACCATTATCAAGCATGGTTTATTCCAGGGACACAAGACTGACTCTGTAACTTAATCAGTATAGTCCCCCATATTAACAGGCTAAAGAAGAAAAAGCATGTGATTATATCAGTTGATGCATTATAGTCATTTCTCAGAATACAATAAACATTTGTGGGAAATGTAAAAACCACCATATGATAGAAACGGGAACTCCTTTACTTGATTAGGGACATCTACAAAAATATCTGTAAGCAGGATTATTCTTATTTTTTAAAAATATAATCATATACTTAATATAAAAATTTCACCATTTTAAAATGTCCAGCTTAGTGGCATTGTTTATTCACACAATTATGCAGTCATCACCATTCATTTCCAGAACTTTTTCATCTTCCCAGACTGAAACTATCCATTATATAATAACTATCCGTTCCTAACCCACTCCCCCTCCCAGTTCCTGGTAACCTCTGTTTTACTTTGTCTCCATGAATTTGCCTATTTCAGGTATCTGCTGTAAGTGGAATCAAACAATGTTTGTCATTTGTGACTGGCTTATTTCACTTAGCATAGTGTTTTCAAGGCTAATCTCTTGATTTAGCATGTATCAGAGTTTCTTTCCTGTTTAAGGCTGAATTACGTACAGTTATGTGTATATACGTACTACATTTTCTTATCTGTTTGTCTGTTGGTGGACGTTAGGGTTGTTTCCGCCTTTGGGTTATTGTGAATAATGCTGTTATGGACATTAGTGTATGAGTATGTTGAATTCTTGTTTTTGATTCTTTGGGGGTATACACCCACAATTCAAATTGCTAGATCATATGATAAATTGAACTCTTTTTTTATTGGTATATTTAACTTTTTGAGGAACTGCTAAACTCTTTCCCACAGAAACGACATCTTTTTACTTTTCCCACAACAATAAATAGAGGTTCCAGTTTCTCCATGAGTGTGTGCTCAGTCATGTCCGACTCTTTATGACCCCATGGACTGTAGCCTGCCAGGCTCCTCTGCCCATGTCATTTTCCAGGCAGAATTACTGGAGTGGGTTGCCATTTCCTACTCCAGTTTCTACTCCAGTTTCTCCACATCCTCCCAAAATGTTTTTTCCTGTTTCTTTGGTGATAGGTATCCTAATGAGTGTGATGTGGTATATTTGTGGAGCAGTATTTTTAATGCTTTGAGACATTATGTTTCCTTCTAATATCAAGTACAAGGCAAGGATGTCTGTTCTTACCACTCTTATTTATTATCACACTAGAAGTTCTACATTAAGGCACAGACAGGAAATAAAATACATAGATTATAAGGAAAAAAATCTGCCCCCATGTGCAAATCCTCTGATTGTCTACATAGGAAATCTTGAGGAATCCAGGAGGAAAAAAAAGTAAAGCGAGTGAGTTCCACCAGGTTGCCAGATTCAGGATAAGCATACAGTTTATTACTGTTTCATGGCAATTGTTTTGTCTCATGAACAATTGGTCATTGAACTAAAAATACAGTACCATTAAAATCACTAAAAAAAGAAAAACAAAGGAATTTTTAGGTATGAGTTTTTAAACAAAGCCTATGTAGATTTGTCTACTGAAAACCACAATAGCTGTTGAAAGAAATCAAAGAACATCTCGGTTAATGGAGAGACATCTCATCTCATGTTCATAGATTTGAAGAGTCAACATGATAAAGATGTTGGTTCTTCCTAAATTGATATACAGGTTTAATGCAAATCTTGTCCAAATTCCAGAAACAGTTTTTAGTAGATACAGGTGAGATTATTCTAAAATTTTTTATGGAAAGGCATATGCCTTAGAATAGCTAAAATAATCTTTTAAAATGAAGACTAAAGGAGGAAGAATCCATCTATCTGATTTCAAGACCTGTGGTATAGCTGCATTAATCAATCAAAACAGTGTTTTCCATAGCATCATAGACTTAGAGATTGATAGAACAGAATAGAGAACCCCTGAATAGAACTCCCAGCAATGTGGGAAGAGGTTTAGTAGTCTTGAATACATGGCAAAGGATTCTGGTTGAAAGCAGGCTCTATGGATCTCACCTGATGTCCCATGCCAGCCTTATTGCTGCCTCAGCCCTGGCTGGTAACTTAGGTTAAGTTGACTAGTAGGCCTGTGTGGTCTCTGGGTGTGCTTGTGTTTTAGGCATTAATGGCCTTCAGGGATGTGGCTGTGGCCTTCACCCAGAAGGAGTGGAAGCTACTGAGTCCTGCTCAGAGGACCCTGTATCGGGATGTAATGCTGGAGAACTACAGCCATATGGTGTCGCTGGGTAAGGATGACTTGTCCCATGTCTCAGACTCTGCCTATAGGCCTCTTAATGTTTAATGGAGTAGCCACCATGCTTTTGGCTCAGAAAGAAACATGTATTTTCTCTGTACCTCAGAGAGTGTCTGGATTCTGTAGAGTTGGAAATGGTGAAGTTGTGCATGTGTGTGTATTTGTGTGATATGACACTGCATTTCGAGGCCCCTTCCAAGACCAGGCCCTCCTCTAAAGTGATCTTACTTCAGACGGCAGAGTATTTGTATTCATTCAAGCATAGGGGAGAATCATATACTGCCTTCAGAGCCAGGATTCCTCCCTTCCCTTAGTCATCTTTTCTCAGCATTCAGAGAATCTTTGTCCGCATCCATCCCTGCTGCCTGGCTTTCCTACCCACTTCTGAGTCATTGCATTCCCTGGCTGACTCTGAGTTCTGTGATAGGCTCTTAAGTCACTAACCAAAGATCACCTTGATTTTTTTCCCCTGTGAGTAGGTATTGCCTTTCCTAAACCAAAACTCATCATACAACTGGAACAAGGAGACGAGCCCTGGAGAGAGGAGAGTGAATGTCTTCTGGACCTTTGTGCAGGTAAGTTGAAAACAGAAGGCAGACAAAGATCAGGGCAGTGAGGTGCTCAGCAGGTGAGGAAAGAGGAGCATCTGTAAGCTTCTGAGGAGGAAGCTCTTCCTCAGGCCTGCCTTCCATGCCATCCTACTCAGCCCAGAGAGGGCTTCCCTGGCCACCCTCTCTTTCCTCCCCAACAGAGCAACATCCACTCACTTGGTGTCCTTTGTCCAACACTTCTAGGATTTTCCCATTCTTGAACTTTTGTTAGTTGACCTGATCTTGAACATAACACTTGTGCTCTGAGACTAAGTCATCTATCCCTGCTAGATTCTGTCCAGTTTTTATTTTTAAACGGGTAATGTTTTCATGCAGCAGTTCTACCACATAAGTTCCCATAACTTTGTTTCTTTTGTGATGTGTTATTTAAGATTATACCAGAATGTGAAGAATTATACAATGAGTGCCAGTTTGCCTTCCCTGCAGCCTAAGTGGTGGTGGTGATTTAGTCACTGTCATGTCCAACTCTTGTGACCCTGTGGACTGTAGCCCATCAGGCTCCACTGTCCATGGGATTTTCCAGTCAAGAATACTGTAGTGGTGTTTTGCTGAAAGTTTTCACTTTTGTCTCAGGTTTAAAGGATTTGTCAACAAAATAAGCCACTCATTATATACAAATAAGTAATAAAAATATTTATTAGAGAATTATCTGGCTTACTTTCAATATACTAACATTGAAAGAAAAGTGAAAGAGAGCAGAGGACATCACCAATTTGGGTTTTCACCAACATTCAGACTTAAACAGGGCTGGGAAGTCCCATGTCACAGCACATAGGGAGTTCCAGTTGGGAAAAGGCCCCAGGCAGCATGTCTGCTCCGTGGGTGAGACTTCAAAGATTGCAGTTTGGGGTTCCCGCTTATAATCCCAGGATGCAAACAGGATGCTCATCATCAATCTGTGAGCAAATTGCAATTCTGGCTTCGTGTTATGCTGTTTGTTTTGTCATGTAAAACTTGGAATGTTGTTAAGGTCAGGGCTTAGTTGGCCAGGCCCCCTCCAGGAGCTTAAGAAACTCCAAGATCTGCTCCCTATGATATCTATTGTGTTTCTCTTCTGACACTCACAGCAGGTGTGGCTGACACTCACAGCAGGTGTAGCTGACATCCACAGCAGTAGTCAGGGCAGTGTCCAGGTAGGTCAGAAGCAAGGTCAGAGGCCCACTCTGCTCTTTTGCCTCTGAAGCCTGGACAAGACTACTTCTATTTTATTTCTCTAACAAGTGGGTTGCCATTTCCTTCTCTAGAGAATCTTCCTGACCCAGGGATTGAACGTGGGTCTCCTGCACTGCAGGCAGATTCTTTACTGACTGAGCTACCAGGGAAGCTTGCAGACTAAGAAATATACCATTATATAAGACCAGGTGATACCTGGTGATACCTTTCCTGGTTGTGTCCCGCTCCTTCACCCCGCCTCTTGAGAATCCGACTTCAGCATTAGCATGCCTGTGACTGCCCTTAGCTTTTTATCCCTTCAGTGGATCTTTTAACCATACAGAGAGTTCTTTTGGTGTGTTTGTAAACATCTCTGCACATAGTACCATATTGTATACCTCCTTCACTAGCTATATGTGAGATTCATATTAAAATGTGCAAGTTTAGTTTATACTTTTAACATTTGTTATGTATTGATTTCATTATATGAATATTTTAATGCAGTTGAATTACCATTTCTCTTCTTTTGGACATTTGAGTTATTTTCAGTTTTTGTCTATGAAATAATGTTGCTGTGTATTCTTATTTCTTCTTTGGAAATGCATGCAAGTGTTTCTCTCAAGATGCATACCTAGGAGCACAGAGACTGGTTCATGGGTGTGGGTCGCCTCAACCTGATTAGGTTATACCACATGTGTTCTGAATCTGTTCAGTGCCATATTACACTCCCAGCAGTGGTGATGAGTTCTTGTTCCACATCCTCACATTTTTCACCCATCTGTTTGGTTTGTGGTGGAATGTCATAGGGATTTGGCTTTCCAGAGAGCGTGACCATCTTTTCCTGTGTTGGCTTGGTCATTGGTGTTTCCTTTTCTGTGACTTGTCTGTTCAGGGTATGTTCCTACTTTTGATTTGGGCTATTTCTGTTATTGAACTGTAGAAATTCCATATACATTCTGGAAACATTTAGATCTTTAATCAAGGTGGAATTAATTTTATGTGAATGTTGGGAGGTAAGGATAAATTTCTGCCTTTTTTTTCATTCTTTTATTTTCAACATTCTTGGCATTTTATTTTTTGTTATTTATTTTTGCTTCTAAATACAACCATATATCTGTACTTGTACTTTATAGCAAACTCAATGCTTTTTTCTTTTAAAAAAAGAACTATTATTAAACTATAATTATTGTATAATAGAAAAACATTATTATAGTATAAGGTATGATATCTTATGCTAGGAGGTATAAGATTTGACACCTTATGCTAGAAGGTATAAGGTAAAATTTGTTAAGTTTTGATATCTGCGCAGTCACGAAACCATCACAGTAATCCAAATTCTGAGCATACCTATCACTGCAGAGTTTCCTTGTGCTTCACTATAATTTCTATCTCCTGCCTCTGCCTGTCCTCCCCTCCCTCCCTTACCCAGACAGTCACTGACTGCTTTCTGTCATAGATTTGTTTGCATTTAAAAAATTCATATAAATTAATAATGTTAATTCTTTCACCCAATATAATTATTTTGAATTTTATCCATAATGTTGGGTGTGTCAACAGTTCATTTCTTTTGATTGCTGAGTAGTAATATAGATGTCACAATTATTTAGCCATTCATGGGCTAAGGAAATTTCAGTAGTCTCTAATTTTGATGAATACAAATACAGACTATATGAATATTCATGAAAAGTATTTGTGTAAGCATATGCTTTCATTTCTTTTGGATAAGCACCTGGGAGTGTAATAGCTGGGATGGATGATACAGGGTATATTTAATTTTTAATGAAACTCACCAAGTAGCTGCACTTTTTCACATTCCCACCAGTAGTGTGTGAGAGTTCCATATGCTTCACATATTTGTCAACACTTGGTATTATGATTTTAATTTTAGACATTTTTATAATGGTGTAGTAGCATCTTATGTGGTTTTACCTGACATTTTCTTAATGACTTGTGATGTTGATAGTCGTTTCAAGTGCTTGTTTGCTGTCTGTATATCTTCTTTGGTGAAATGTCATCTCAAATTTTTGGCCAATTTGAAAAGTTGGTTTCTTATGTTTTTATTGAATTTTGCAAATTCTTCATATAGTCTGTATAGAAGTCCATTGTTTGATTTATAAGTATTTTCTTTGTGGCTTGCTCTTTATCTTCTTAGTAGAGTTTTTCAATGAGAATTTCTTAATTTTGGTGAAGTCCAAGTTTCAATTTTTCTCTCATGAATTTCACTTTTGGTGATTTATTTAGGAAATCTTTCCAAAATGAAGGCCAAAAAGAGTTTCATGTATTTTTCCTTTTAAAAGTTTTCTAATTTTTACTTTTCATTTAGATCCAAGTCTTATTTTGAGTAAATGTTTTTACTTGATACCAGGTCTGGATTTAAGTACAATTTTTCTTTCTTTTTTTTTCTTTTGTATACAAATATCCAACTTTTCTAGCACTATTTATTGAAAAGACAACCCTTTCTTTGAATTCCCTGTGCACCTTTGTGTAAATTAATTGTGTACGGGTCTATATTTAATATATACTCTATTTTTTTCCACTCTTCTATTTATCCATCTTGATGTCAGTACCACATAGTCTTGATTACTGCAGCTTTGTAAGAAGTCTGGAACTTAGTATAAATCCTCGAACATTTTTTCTTTTTTGAAGTTGTTTTACTTGTGCTAGATTCTTTGCATTTCCACATGGATTTTAGAATCAGCTTGACAATTTTCAACAAAATGCCTGTTGGAATATTGATTAGGATTGAGTTGAATCTACATCAGTTTGAGGAGAATTTACATGTAAATCGTATACTCTGTCATCCAGTACATGAACACAGTCCCTCTATTTTTATGGGACTTAATATTTGTCAGCATTGTTTTATAGTTTTTCATACAAAGGTCTTATGCATCTTATCAGATTTATCCCTCTCTGTTTCATATTTTTCATGCTATTTAAAGTACTTTAAAATTTCAGTTTGTTGATAGCATATAGAAATAAATTTATCTATACTGATCTTGTATCTGGTAAACTTGCAAAACTTGTCATCCTAGTAGTTTTGTAGATTGTATATGATTTTCTACATAAATGACTAATTATTTTTAAGTAAGTATACTTCACTTCTTTCCATTCCTTGTGTCTTTAATTTCTTTTTCTTGCCTCATGGCACAGACGAGAACATCAGTGCAATGATGAATTTAAATGGTGGTGAAAGTAGACATTCTTTCCTTGCTCCTGATCTTATGGGGAATGCTTTCCTCCTAAGTGTAAGTTTTATAGCTACTCTTCATCAGCTTGACAAGCTTCCTTTCTATTCCTTGTTGATGAGTTTTTACTGGGAATGGATATTGGATTTTGTCATTTTTTTGTGGCATCTTTACAGATGATCATTTGTGTTTTTCTTTTTCCGTCTTTTATTATAATTTAGTAAATTATACATTTTTGTTGTTAAATAGGCCTTTTATTTATGTTAATACAATGCACTGACATTCAAATTTCATCACTTGTACCTTCATTTTGTGTGTATGTGTATATTTATTTAGTTCTTTGAAATTTTATATATGTACATTCATGTAACTACCACTGTATTCCAAGATACAGGACAGTTCTATGATAAGAATATCAAAGAAGACTTTATAGTCACAGCCTACACCCTCACTCGTTCCCTCTCTTCATCTGGCAACCACTAATCTGGTCTCTGTCTCTATAGTTTTGTCATTTTAAGAATGTTATATAAAAGAAGTCACATCATGTGTTACCTTTGGAGGTTTCTTTTTTTTTTTTCTTTTGCTATCCATACAAATTGTTGTATGTACTAATATTTCATTCCTTTT